TTTTAATTGTAAAATATTTAAATGGGAATACAATATAAAGGGGCAAGCTCAAATCCGAATGTTGTCCCCCACGAGAATCACTTCACACATCAAATGGACAATAATATGAACATAGTAACACATGATTAAAACGGGAGTTGGCCATGTGCAGTTCTACTTTTTATTTTGGCTTCATGTTGGAGCAGAAAAAAAAAAATGAGGCCAGTACAAAGTGCTTATTTCACAACATTTCTCTCTCTCTATATATATATTTATATATTTACTGTATATTTTTGTAGATTTGTGTGTATGGAAGGCGGCGAGACGGAACGGGCTAGAATGAGACGTGTTAGTCGGGGGCGCCTAATTCATTCCTTCAAAATAGCTCGAGGGAGAAGACACTTTAAGGCAGAACGCGCGCACACACACACACACACGCACACACACACACACACACACACACACACAAGCAACATGGTGGCGGTTGTGCGTCACATTTACAGTAATATAAATAAATGACTACAGCGTACACACTGCGACTTAGTGCCATCCCTTCAGTGTTAAGACCATTTTTGTTGTTTTCTTTTGCCCCCCTTTTAACGCGTCTTGATGGCAGTTTCTCATCTGGACAAAAGCATCGGGACACAAGAAACCCAACAAATTGGAAGTTGGAAGCACCCAATTGCTAACAATGTCTTGTTCAGATTCAAGGCTAGAGCGAAAAGGTTCAGTGAATATCTGAAATTCTACATCAAAGTGAATGTGAACCCTGACCGGTCCCAGCTGGACCCCGCTTCTCTCACCGAGTCAGCTTTGCCCAGCAATTGACTGGTGACCGGTCAAAGCTGCCTCTCGATCAGTATCGGACCGATTTTTTTTGAAGATATTGGCTGCTCCATACTTTTTTTTTTTTTTTTTTTAAACTAAAAGCATTTACTAAGTCCTCCTCAGCAGTAGTTGGCGCTATACAGTGGCAGTGTGATACATTGGCGAATCATCATCTGCACCACAAAGAAAGGCTGTTCACTATTTTGTGTCACTGTGATAAATAAAATTTGATAACAGCCAAAATACTGGAGGGGATTGCTAAGTACACAAAGAATGATATCGGTCTGGGGAAAAAAAAAAAAAAAATTGAACCGAACATCCCTAGTTTATTGCGTCAAATATACTGGGGTTTAAATTGTGGCTTGGGACCTTTCCGTGTTCTCCCTGTGCCAAAACCATACATGCTAGATTTAACTGAAGACTAAATCATTCACAGTTGTGCACTGCAATGGGCTGCCAACCCGTCCAGTGTGTCAAGTCAAAATGAGGACAAACACTTAAAAAAAAAAAAAAAAAAAAGTGAACGGAACTGAAAGGCATCTCGTTCCAGCCAATGAACCCTTAACTGATCGAGGGCTGCGTCCCAATACTTTAGTCCATCACGTGTCATGCTCCCCCGCCCCCTTCAAGAAATGTCTTTCTGACTCAAGCGCACAGTCACTATCCCACCGGTGAGGCCCTCACAATTCGTCACCTTTGCGTTTCTCCCAAGCACTGTCGGAGGCGCGTCACTCCCGTGATTGGTCCACAGGTCCAAAATGTCCGCCGGGTGACGGCGTCTGAGGAAGCAACAAGTGTACAGTAAAACAGGACGCGGCAAAGGACGGTCCGATCGAGGCTGACGGGAGGTGACTGCTACTCAAGTGGATTATGAAGTGGACCTGGGAGATTCAATATGAGAGCTGGCTTTAAAAGAAAAAAAAGTGCCTTTAAACATGAAATAAATAAATATGTTATCGCACACCCCCAAAAAAAAAAAAACCTTTACCGCTCCCAACAAATGCATTGAAGAACGTTCTTCTATGCGCAGGGGTGGAGAGGGTCTGATCTAGTTTGTAAACCATTGTAATGACTAACACCGCCTATAGATGGCAGCGCTGCTTAAGCTTTAGACTTAAGATCAGTACAGCTTTTGAGTCGAAGACAAAGACTAGATCAGGGGTGCCCAATACATCGATCCTGATCGATCGGTAGATCTAGGACAGGTCCCAAGTGTATCTGAGGGGTGGAGAAGGGAAGAAAAAAAAAAAACAAAAAAAAAAAAAACAACCATTTGTGTATCTTTGTACCTGTAATATATTTTTTTCATCCTATCAGTCTCATTTTCACAAAAAAATATTTTAAAAAGAAAGCACGTAAATCATTAACCTACGGTGGCGCGTGATCTACGTCACCGGTAGTTGTTAGCGCTCAGCAGTCTGCAATTGCAGCTTACGAACAGAGCTGTTGCGCTGCATCTTATCGTAGAAAGGGTTCTGTCAGTCGTCATCTGTACCTGTGGGTAAAAAACAAACAAAAAAACAAACAAAAAAAAAAAAAGCAAAAAAGGACGTTTCGCTTCTCTCACAGAAGCTTCGTCAGCGGTAGACAACCCTGAAGTCTCCGTGAAGACTCCGGGAAGTTG